CCTAGGACTATATTTTCTCTTGGAACAGTTATAACCTCCCATCCAGTCCAGAGGGACAAGCACAAGCGGAGGGAAGAAGCACAAGCTGAGGGCATCAGCTCTGTCCTAGAACTACTAAACTTCCTATGTTGGCAAGCTATTATGCTGTCTATTCTCATTAACAAGAACGTGTGACTTTTCAGGTAGATACATACATGACAAATTACTCAGTATAAACAAGAAAAATAAATGGGACAGCCCTTGAAATTTAGTGGAGAAAGAAAACCAGAACATTCAATAATCTGATTAAAACTCAAAAACCCATAAAATTACCAAAAACCATTAATGACGCATTCACATAAAACTAACAGAACATGCCATTCATAAAATGTAATATTCTTCACTCCGTTTAATTTCCTGCAATAAGGCTTTGGAGCTACCACTTAAACCAACATCACACTCGACTTGTTTAAATACAAAAGTGTTCTCTGGTTCATGTGTCTTGGTTGACCACTCCCAAACATTTCTAATACTACTTTACTATTAATATCTACTGACAATAATTTACAACCCAGATGAAACTGAAAGTTGGGTAAAAGTCCCAAGGGTACAAGGACACATGACCAAACATGTCAACTGGCAGAAATTCACATGAAATCTGCTTTACTTGGAACTTCCATTTAAATGCTAATTCATTTAGCTAATAAACACATACTGCATAGCAAATATGGACAGAGAATACAGTCTACAGAATTGTCAGCAATACATGCTACTCATGTAACAGTGATTATTGTATGCCTCCTCTATGCCAGGGGCTGGGAGATTAACACTGAACAAAACAGACTCTGGTTCTCATGAAGTTTACATTCTTCTCAATGAGGGACAATCAAGTAAGGAAACAAATCACAAATTTTAGAAGGTGGTATGTGCTATTAAGAGAAATTAGTGACATGATGGAAAATAAATAGGACACCTAGGAACTTAAATGATAACAAGGTTTTATTTTTTTCATAAAAGATACATTAATTTCAAATCTTACAGAGGAACTAGGCAATGCATAAGGGTGGGTGGCAGTGGCAGGAATCAGGCTAAAGAGCAGGGTAAAAATATGAGGGGAGAAAGGAAAAGAAAGGAACAAGAGCTAAAAGAAAGGGATGTGTTAATGAACAATGGGCTACCGTGTCTGTTACAGAAAGGTGTATGTTTTGTTTTGTTTTATTCATGGGCTGAATATATATGAGAAACTACCTACCCTACCATACTCCCAATACACACAAAACAAGCATTTTAAAACCAGAACTAAAGAGAGAAATAGAACTGTTTTCCTTATGATGGCAAAGGGAGGGGGAGAGGCATTTTAAATGTAGATCTTCCTACAGGACATAATTATATGAGAACTGTTAAGACATTACTCAAGCTTCTGAGTAAGAGATCACTGAAGAACATTTTTTAAAGAACTACTGCCTAAAATAACTGCTTATGAGAGCTCTTTAACTCAGCTATACATCTAGGCTAAACATGATAAAATCATTTTTCAGCAAACCAATGGGAAAAGAACAAAAACACTTTAGGTATCTGGCAGCCAGAGAAGTGCTCACAAAGGGAGCTATTCACCTTAGCTTCCCTTCAGTCTCTGTCAAGCTGGAGAGTATGAAATTATCAGTACACAGCTGAAAGCCTGTATTGGCCCTTTCTTCCCTGCCTACGTGTTCTACAAAACCTCTATTTAATGCATGCTGCCATTCCCTGGGTCTCCATCTCTATTTTGAAGTGCTAGGAAAGCAAGCTGACAAAAAGGTTTAGAACACTGCCTACAGGAATAGGAACTCCTACACTCACTACGGAAAAATGTTATTCCTCATTGTCTCAAAGACCTCTCAGACTAAAGCCTCCCAAAATCACACTTTCATGTTTCATCTTTTTATTATGCCCTTTCTCTAAGTCTATTATGAAAGAGACAAATTCACTCAAATTCAACCATGGAAGCAGAAAAGCAATCAAAATCTCTTTAGTCACTATAGTCTCTCTCCTGCCACTTCATGGGGTCAGTTACTAAGTCTTACATGTTGTGCAGTACAAATGAGATGCACATGCAGCCCTCCTGCTTTATTTCCAAATTCTCATCAATGACATTCACCACCAAAGCAAGTTCTAACCTTGGAGTCATCCTTCCAAGAAATGAAATGAGGCACAATTAGCCAGTTGGAGAAAAGATAAATAAAATAGCATTTATTGAGTTTCTACTATGTACTTGGCTCTGCTGGCCTAGGAGGGGGGCACTGCTATCTCCATTTTATAAATGGGGGGAAAAATTTGATGTTTCTCAAACATACCCATTTCTTTCTGGTCTAACAGTTCAGACTTTTATCACTTCACATTCACAGTAGTATTTGCTTCCTCCAAATCTGTTTTATATAAAACACTACCAGAACAATCATACCAAAATTCCATTTATATCACATCAATTCCCTGTTGAGGGCAGTGAATGCCTTCTGCCTATCGGCCCACTGACTGGCCCAAGTTCAATAAATATTTGTTCCTTGCAACTATGCTATGATTCCCCACCAGCTTAGGCTTATTAACAAGCCCCGGAAGCAGTAAGTAATAGATTTTTAAGACAGAGGAGTTGAATATGCAGAATGCATGTGTAAAAACCAAAGGTAACTCAAAAGCCTTCATGATCCAGTGGAACCTAAGACAGTACACAATTTCGACTCCACCAAAATCAGCCTTTTTTAGGGATAGCAGGGGCTGAAATTAGAATGCGAGGGTTCTAACCCTAGCTCCTCCACTTCTAGCTACTTCACCTCTCCCTGCTTCAATTGCCTCCTCTATCTATCGAAGTTCAACTTGGACTCTTCGCAAGTTCTTCCACATTCCCTGACTATCCAAGTCTAAGTTATTCTCCAAAGGTTAGCTGAAGGCCTTAGCAAACTCTCACTGGATGACCTCAGCCCATCACTCCACTTACTTGATTTATAATAACTCTACAGCAGAGAGTCTGAACCACTCATTTAAATTTTTATCTGCAACCACGTATCACCATACCTTGTTTAATTATCCCACTACTCCCTACTCCCCAATGTCCCACACATGAATGACATCACTACTCACTGTGTCAAGTGACCACCAGTGGCACCATATTAATACCAGTAATTATTACTACCACCATTTAATGAATACCTAAGTGCCGGGCACTGAGCTAAGTATCTTCTGTATTTTTCTGTCCTTCAATCTTCATAGCCCTTCTGAGTAAATTTGCCTCTTTAGCCCCATTTCGTAGCTAAGGAAGAGATCTTACGCAAAGCTGCAAAACTAGTGAGGATGGAGGTGAAGAGAGAAGTGGGTGATTTCAAACTCAGTTCTGTCTACCTGCCATTCTTAACTACTACATCATATCGTTTAGTAATTACTTTGGTCATTTCATATCTAGACATATTAAATCTTCCTGTCCACTTAGACACCAATTTTTTTCAATAACTACATTGGAAAATTTTTTAGAGATTTGTGACAATTTGAAAACATTCACAGACTACCTAGTATATTTAAAATATCCAAAAAATTCAGAAAAAGGTAGGTCATGAATGCATAAAATGTGTGTTGATGCTAGTCCATTTTATTATGTATTACCATAAAGTCAACAGTAGGTCCCTAAGTTCTGGAGGTGTCAAATGTTACACACTGGTTTTCTACTGCATGGGGGTTGGTGCCCTCTCTTGCTCAAAGGTTAACTGTATTTCTTTTGTCGCTTCCAGAATAACTCATTCTTAATGTCATTAATACATCTTTGCATAAACTAACTTAATGGTTACAATTCTGTGAGACAGTAATAATTATTATTGCCAATTTACAAATGAGGAAACAGGCACAGAGAGGTTAAATAACTTGCCCCAAATCACACAGGTAGTAAGTGGCAAACTGGAGGGTGAAGTGGTAGCTATGACTGATTACTTCATTTATTGATCCATTCTCAACAGTTTTTATTAAGCACTTTCCAAGGGGATGGTAACAGAGCAGTGAACAAACCAAAAAAGATACCTGCTCTCATGGAGCTTACAATCTTATTTCTTTTCCAATATTTCCATTCAAGGGCAAAGTCATATAAAAATATCAAATCTGGATAATTAAAAATAATATCAAGGAAAGAGCACGGGGCATGAAGCCAGAAACCTTGGTTAAATTCCTAATTTTGCCACTTATTAGTAACTTTGCCATTAATTAAACCCTGGACAAATCCCTTCACTTCTCAATTTCATGACCTGTCTGAGATAATGTGTTAAGTTGTACACTAAGCACAGGGTCTGGCACTTAGTATAGACATGAGTTTCCCTCTTGCCCCTCCCCTCCATGCAGTGACTTCATCATTTGTGTAGTCACTGAGCACATGTTAAAAGGCTATGCCGAATTACGTTAAGGACTAAAAAGGGCCAGTCTCTTACTTTCCAACCCCAATTCTCATTCCAGATCACCACCGCTGTCTCCAATTTCACGCCCCAGACTACTTCGATGCCGATAATTCAGGTTACAACTCGGAATGACAGCGACACACGTTGGGGCCTTGCAGCGTCTTATAAATGCTCCCGATGACCTTCTTTAGAAGGAACTTTTGTTTCAACTGGGGAGGAATGAGGCCTCCTGACCAGGCTCCAACGCCCCGTGTGGGAGATGTGGCACCAAGGAGGGGAATTTCGAGCCTCAGGCATGAAGTTGTGCCCTGCACACTGATTTTAACCCGAAGCGCCCTGCACTCTCTTGCCACCTGCCAGTCGGACCCCTACCTCCTCCGGGCTGCAGCTCCACCCCTCCCTCCGCGGGTGACAGACCAGGCTCCCCGGGCCCGTGTCCCCCGCCGCCCGAGTGACCTCCCGCCCGGGCCGGGCAGCTAGCCGCGGCCTGAGGGGCTCACCAGGCCGAACGGCCTGACCTCTCACTGGGCTTCCCTTCCGCCCGTCTGTGCGGCAGAGCCTTGAGCTGGCTGTTTGGCTCTGGACGGGGCTTGCCAGGATCGAGCAGCCCCTTACCTATCTTTACGACCGCATCCGCCAAGCACCGGTCCCACTTCCTGCCGAGCTCTGAGTCCGACATGTTCCCCAACCGCTGCTCCAGCTTTCCCCACCGCCTGGCTCCGCGTTACGACTCCAGGCAAATCTCGCGAGAACCAACCGCGGTTCCCAGTCCCAGAAGTCCGGCGCCCGCGTGCCAAATATCGCGAGACGATCTGACGTGCTTCCCGGTTTTTTTCAGTTGGTCGTCAAGGTGACGGGTTGCCCGAGGTGACCCTGACCTTGGAGCCGCGCCTACCTCAGGGTTGCGAAGCTGACAGTTTCCAGGCGGCGTCCAGAACCCTGTCGGGAAGGCTCACCCTTCACACCAGCTCTCAACGTTGGCCTTGGAAATTCCCAGGGCAAGTGAGGGCACGGCGCTTGTTTTATTCATTCATTTACTTACCTTTACTTTTTCTACTCCCTCATTCACTAGTTTATTGCAGTGGAACTCGCGCCTGCACCGCTAACACTGAAACTGCTCTGGCAAAGGTTATTGCTAAATCAAACGGATGCTTTTTGGACCTCTATACAGCATTGGACGAAACTGCTCTCCTCCTGATCCTCCTTTTCTCCCTGCCTTTATTCATTGGGACTCTCAGGCTTTCCTAGTTCTCCTCTGTCTGACCCCTCCCTTTAGATGTCCTTCCAGGGCTTTCTCTCATCCTGGTGCTTACAGCGTTGGTTCAAAGGGTTCCACTAGTCCTCTTTTCATTCTATATACTCTTAAGTTTTTGCAACCACTGCCAAATTCCATCTCCAAATCAAACGGTCTACCTCAAGCGTTCTATTCATAATTCAGACTCCTTGCTAATGTCATTGATTTTAGTCTTCACTGTTTCCACCTTCAATCCTCCCCACAAATACAAATTATTTCTCTGATTAGAAGCTGTCAATGACTCCCATTCACCTACTGGACACACCCAAGCTTCAACAGGTCACCCTAGGAAGTCTACACTAATAGACCTTAGAGGGCCCCCTCATCCACTAGTAGAGATTTGAGCCCTCCTCCATCTTACTGTCACAGAATCTTGTGTACCCCATAGAATTCTCTACATTGTATTGGAACATCTCTTTACAGATGTTTGTATCTGCCAGTAAAACCAGTTCATTAAGGGTCAGAGCTGTCCCTTCTTCATCTGCACACTCCCCATTCAGACCACAATGCCTTGGACAGTAGGATCTTCCATGAAATATTTGTTGAACTGAACTGAATTCATTTACCCACTTATTCATTCATTTATTTTTGCAACTTATAACAGCAGAACTGCTGCACCAGTCCCTGCTATGACAGACCCCTTCCTTCAGGAAACCATCTTCCGTGACTACCCTACTTCTAGCTCTCATCTGAGCTACATTATCACATTGTATTTTAATTGTATGTGTCTTGGATGTGACTGTGAGCTCCTTGAATATGGGGGCTGTGCCATTTCAATATCCACAATGACTAGCAGAGAGCCTGGTGTCTACTGGATTCTCAATAAATGCTTTTTGAATGGATGTAAGAATGAATGAATGTATAATGAATGTGTGAATGAATGAATGAATGAATGAATGAGAGTCTCTGTGCTGGAGGAACTTTTTGTGTTTAAAAAAGGAAAATTAACTTCACTAAATACCTACAGTGTGTCACAAATAGCACCAGACATATCATGTAATTTCATTTATCCTCATAGCAGATTGAGATTAAGACCTTCATATTCATAGATTTGGAAACTGAGTCTCAGAGAAGTTGAGTAATGTAGAAGATGCACAAGGCTCTGGTGTGTGCAGATTTAGAAACTGACAAGGGATTTTTATTGGATTCAAGAGAGTTGTAAACTTGTGTAGAAGGCAGAGAACAAATAACAAAAGCAGTCAGAGGCAGGTGGTATAGAATGAATTCTGTGGCCAGGCTGTCCAGGTTCAGATCCTAGGTTTGCCACTTCCTAGCATCGTGTCTATTATTCTCTCTCCAAAGTTCCTTTCCCAGTACCATGTTTTGTTCACTGCTGTATCCCCAGCCATAGAACATTATCTGACACACAGTGTTGGTTTGATAAATATATGTTGGTTGAATGAATGAAATAAATTAAAGCTCTGGGTTTTTTTGTAGTTCTTGGAGAACAAAGACCATTTCAAGTGGGAAAAATAGTTTTTAAAAGACAGCAATATGCTCATAAATTCAGTTACATTTGAAACGATGAAAAGTAGGTTTCCCAGTGCTAAAGAAGGGAGTTACAAACGTGGAAAGGAGGATAGCTTGAAAGAACTCTTTGCTTTTGTATGGGAATTCAGTGTATGAGTATGACCCCATGGTATTTAATGTAATGGAACAGATATAAATATAAATAAATATGTGAGTGTATATTTCCAGATCCTGTCTGCCGAGAGGACATGAATTAGAGACAAAGACTCCAGGGCTGGAGCAGGGAAAATACAAGATGACCCTGGGATATCTTCTTGTGTCACAGGGTAAGGAAGTCATCAAAGGATGATAGTATCATGCCAAAATGTTTTCATAAGTATAGACTGTCTAAAAGAGTGCTTGGTTCCTAATTGGAACTCTTAGCATAGGCCATTATTATTATCATTAGGACTTCTCCCAGTTGCATGGAACAAGTTTCACAAAGATGAAGTTTGCATTTCAGATGGTTGAAGAGTCTTATAATAAAGAGTTTCACAGCAAGAGAGGCAGGATCTTTTTACTTTGGATAGGAGAAAAATGGAAAAGTGAAAACTGTCACTTATGTAGACTAGATTTTGGCCTCAACTGGTTAATCAACCAAACATAAACTCTTTGTTCAGTTTACTAGGTTGTAAATCCAACTTCATTAACAACGCAGATTAGAGTATTTTATAGCACAGCACCTGCATAAATAAAAGTCATTTAGATTCCAGTGGGGTTTTTTTTCAGTTTCTCTTCAGTCAGAAACTAATCCCTTTCTTAAAGGGAGATTCACATTTTTGTTTCATATTTTCTTTCTCTAAGAGGGGTCTTACCATCATTTTGCCACTTTAGTAATGTGTCCAGAATTAAACAGTATTAAGTAGCTTCTTTGGTTCCAAAGCCCAAGTGCCCCTCTTTTCTTTTTCCTATTTTTTTATGGGTGTGTGTGAAATATAACAAATATGGAGAAGTGCTAAACACATAAATATAGCATAACAAGTTATAAAATGAACATTGTTAACACCTCAAAAGCCCACTCCCTGGTATGTCCTTTACCAGATCATATCCCCTCCTTCCTACCAGCATAACCACTATCCTGACTTTTATGTTATTTATTTCCTTGCTTTTATTTAAGTGCTGTTACCTGGTTGTATACCCTTAAACAATATGGTTTAATTTTGCCTGGTGTTGGAATTTGTATGAATAGAAACATACAGTCTGTATTCTATGACATTTGACTTCTTTTGTTCATTATTAAGCTTTGAGATTTATCCATGTGTGTTGCTAATTCTTGTTTCACAGCCATATAGTATTTCATTATATTCTGTCCATTATTTATTTATTCTATTGCCCATGGATATTTGGGTTGTTTTTAATGTGGGATTACTACCAACAAAGCTTCTCATTCTTGTACGTGTGTTCTGATGCACACTGGTACACATTTTTATAGGGTATATAACTAAAGAAGGCAGTAAGGCATGCTTATCTTCAGCTTTATTAGAAACTGCCAACTTTATCCCAGAGTGATTGTATCAATTCACATCCTCACCAGCAGTTTATGACCATTCCTATTACCCCACTTCCTCACCAACAATTGATTTTTAATTTCACTCTAAAATTGTCACCACTGGTAGGTGTGTAGTGGTATCTCATGGGATAATCCTTGCTCTTTCAAATGATTAAACTACTCAATCATGTGTTCCAAATACATAATAAAGCAGTAACGGGATTCAAACTGAATGAAAGGGTCCCTGAAATAGGAAAAGATGACAGAAACTTAATGTTTTGCAAACCTGAAGCAGGTATACTGGATTGAATAGTGCCCCTGACCCAAACACATGTCCCTCCCAAAACCTCAGAATGTGATCTTATTTGGAAATAGGGTCATTGCAGATGTTACTAGCTAAGATTAGATCATACTGGAATGAGGAGAACCTTAATTCCAAATGACTAGTGTCCTTATAAGAGGAGGAGAAGAATGTAGAGACAGACAGATGCATGTGGAGGCAGAGATTACCGTTATGCAACTACAGGCTGAGGCTGAGAAATGCCAAGGACCACTGGCCATTGCCAGAAGCTGGTAGAGAGGCATGAAATAGATTCTAGATTCTCCCTCTTAGCTTCCAAGAAGAAAACAACCAACTTTTCTGACACCTTGATCTTGGACTTCTAGCCACCAGAACCAATAGAATATATTTCTAATGTTTTAAAACCACTCAGTTTGAAGATGCGGTATAAAACGACACAATGACAAAAAAACCCTGAGCATGAAAGAACTTTTACCAATAAATAACACCTTATTTAAACAACAGCAGAGAAATGATTTGTGCTCCTTCGCACTGGTCACTACTCTTCCCTTGGGGTTGCCAGTTGTGTCTGCAGGAAGAAGATAAGGAAATACATGGATGGGAGGAACGAGATGGAGCCGGTCAAGGTAGGAAAGGAGAAGTTCCACAAATCTCAACACTGGGGTTTTTGCAACAATGTTAGGATGCTGGTGAGTGAAGATAAGCCTAGAACAGGGGGAGAACCGCTACTTGGACAAAAGGTGAAGCCTAAATACAGTGCATTTCCTAGAGGAACAGCAACCGATGTGCCATCCTGGGTAGCTTTTGATAAGCAGGTATTGTCTTTTGATGCCTATGTAGAAGATGAAGTACCTGATATAAGTCAAGAAAAATATAGAATAAGACACTATAAAATCTACTTCTACCTTGAAGATGACACCATTCAAGTAAATGAACCAGAGTTGAAAAATAGTGGACTGCCTCAAGGGACTTCAATCCGGCGTCATCAGATTTCTCTCCCACCTCCTGATGAGGATCAGTTTCATACTGTCTATCATTTTAATATCAACATAGACATTGCCTTTTATGGCCAGGCATTTAAGATTTATGACTGTGATACATTCACAAAAAACTTCTTGAAGAAAATAGGGGTCAAATTAAATCCCCCAGGACAGTGTCCAGAAGATCCTTACATGAAGACACGGAGAAAGATGCTAGAGTTCATGGAGCCCTTACGTCCCTATGAGTCCTTTTTCGCTCTGAAACAGTTCCTTGAGTATGATAGGAAGGTTTTGCGTTTCTTCTGCCTGTGGGATGACTCAGCCTCATTGTTTAGGGAATGTAGGGAACTCATCCTGCATTACTTTCTGTCTGATGATACTATTGAAATCAAAGAAGTTTTGCCAGACAACTCAGGTTGGCATGCTGTGCCATTCTTCCTCCAGAGGAGAAAGTTACCCAAGTATGGCCCACCTGGAGTCTATCAACCAGGCCGTGTAACAGACCAAATAGTTCTCAATTTGTATCATGGCTCGGTAGAGAACCGAGTGCATGGCTGCTGCCTTTTGGAAAGACACAAGGCAAGAAAATTAGACCAAGACTTTTACAAAGATAGTGAGTGACCTGTCCATAGGAACCACCATCAATGTGTGGGGAAGAAAAGTGCTCCTTTGTGACTGTGATGAATTTACAAAGACCTATCATAAGACTAAATATGGAATTGAGAACTTTACCTCCATTCCACGTAAGGCTCCACCTCCTCCAAAAATAGAAAGGAAATTTCCACGTTATGCCAACTTTGGTTCTGAAGAGGATTCTCTCCGCTCCTGCATAGCCCTCATGCCCACACCTCAAACGAAGATCCGAAAGTTCATGGAAAAAGACAGAAATGGCTACATAAGCAGTACACTCTGGTTTTTTGCAAAACTGTTCACACGCAAATGTGCCGACGTGGACAGGATGTTTGTTATTTCATATTTTCTCAGCGATAACACAGTTTCAGTGTTTGAACCTATAGAGAAGAATTCAGGGATTACTGGTGGGAAGTTCTTGAAAAGGAGTCGTGTTAAGAAGCCTGGACAAGAAATCTTTAAAAGTGAACTATTGGAGTACATCAAGGCCAAGGAGCTGTATGTTGGAGCTAAAGTGAATTTGAATGGCTACCTATTTCTTCTGCTCAATGCTGATGAATATACCTTCAACTACATGGAAAAGCTTTCAGATAAGTTTCCTAAGAGCAGCATCAAACTTGCCCTACAAAAGCACAAAGAAGAACCCAAGTCCAGAGAGCTCAAGAAGCTGTTTGCAGCTGCTGACTGTAGGCACACAAAGATGGTGGATTACAATATGTTCAGAGACATATTGATGAGTTTAACTGTCGGGAAACTCACAGACCATGAAGTAACAACAATTGAACGCTAATACCGGGTGCCCAAGGGCACATGTCTAGATTCCAGTGTTCTCATTGCACAGGTCCATGAACAGCTCAAGAAAAATTATTTTGAGAATTTTGAAAGACTCATTGCTAGATGTGTGTACCAAGATTGAGAAAAAAAAAAAGTATTACCAAGCAAAGACATCAAACGGCTGTGCAAGTCCTCCAGGTTACCTTTGAATAATGATCTTTTGGCATCCTTACTGTCCAGGTTTGAAGACAGTGAAGAACAAATAAATTATGATTCATTTTTCTGTGCCCTGAACTGGAGAATACATCTGATGCCCGCATTGGAAGCAGTGTCATATGATAAAGAGAAATGTGAAGATGTGTGGCTCGGGATGCCATCACCTATTCCTGTGAAATACATTAACTATTTAAACCTTTTAAAGGACATGTTTGGCTTAGAGGAGGAGTAACTGTGTCAGTTTCGGTCAACTTTGATTCCCTTCCTAACTTTGCCAACTTTATTTCAGTAGATAAAATTTCCTTAAAACAAAAAGAAGCAAGGTTCATGTAGACCAAAATTAATCTCCTTTTGTCACTTTATTTTTTCAGAACATCATACTGCTGATATACCAGCATTATTAAAAATGCCATTTAAAGAAACATTGAACATGTTTATTATATGTATGACTTATTAATACCAAATAATCATATGGTAATTTTCCATCCAACATAATTTAGAAACACAAAAAGAAAATTACTTTTGAAAGCTAAACATAACAATAGAAAAGCAAATTCTATCAGAACAATAAGTTGTGATTGTATTAAACATATTTTGAAATCTTTCTGACACATTTACTTATATAATTAAACTTTGTAGCAACCCATATTATCAAAATAACCCTTAAACCTCTCTAGAGAGAAGGTATTTTCTGTAAGTAACAAAGCTGTGAGAAGAAAAGCACCCCCTTCCAACATACTCACACATAGAAACACACACACATGTGCAAAAATTAGAGAGAAATCGAAACTGTGCATGTTTATATTTTGAATGCCCTTTTTATATCTGAACTTAGTTTGTTAACGTAGGAATATATGCAAGTGTATATAATTATAGTATGACCAAAAATGTATTACATCTAAAATATTTAGGGATGTGAATATTGAAGATTTTGAGTGATCTTTTTTGGTTCATTCTCCACACACACGCACCACCCACTGCAGGGGTTTAAATATTATAAGACTACAGTGTGCTTCCTTCCTACAGTTCTCTGAGTCTGTTTTTATTTTTCTCCTTGGCCTATACATTATGATTCCCAGCAAACTCATACATTTTGTCAGGTAGTGTATATTTGATTAAAACTTTAAAAAAAAACACTCAGTTTGAGGTACTTTGTTACAGCAGCCTAGGAAATTAAGCTAGCAGGGCACAACGAGACTGGAAATCATGCAAGTTGGACCCAGTCCACTCTGTGACTCCCGGGCGGTTGTGCACACTAGTAGCTCCTGCCCCTGGGGTCACCTCAGCAGTGCTCTCTTGGGACTCGTGTATTCACTTCTTCCCCCTGTACCTTTGGGCTGAATGCTGGTAATGGCTCCAACTATTACTAATTCCAAGGTATAACAACATTCCTCAGCTTTGTGAAAAATAACATGAAACTCTCCACCACTTCCCACTCTGAGTATTTCCCTGCCACACTGCTAAGCCTGGGAGATGCTTGCGGCCTCTATTCCCTACCCAGCCCACCCACCCCCTTTATTTCCTTCCTAGTGCACAGCATAATTTGCAATTATCTTTCTTGTTTATGTACTCCTCTCCTCTCCTCCCACTCCCTCCCGTTTCTCTTGCCAGATGGCAAGTTCCATGAAAGCAGGGACCTCACTCGTCTCATTATCACTATCCCCCTAGTGCCTCACACAGTGCCTGGTACATTGAAGGCATTTAATTAATACTCTTTGGATGAATGAATGAATGAGGAGTAGGAATGATGCCTTTTTCATTTTTACATCTCTAGCACTAGCCATGCCAGGTACTAAGTGGTACTCCACCGAGGCTCTGTGTTTTCCCATGGCCTTGACTTTGAGGCTAGAGTATCCCAGCCTGGGATACAGCTTAAGAGTAACAACCAGAGCAGATTTAAGGGTCACGTGGTGGTCAATACGTGTTTGAATTGGCCTTAGAGAGTTTGAGTCTGAGGGGAAGCTTGGAAAGGCATGTTGAAAGAAATACCTTTTCTGCATTTACCTGCATTTAAAGTTGCATGGATATGGATTTGTGAAAGAGCATGAGTTTGAGACAATTAGCATCACTGAGTTAGTTTGGACTGAAGCGTGTGAACTGGAGAGGGAGAGTTAGTGCAAGTGTAACCATCATAGTTTGAGTATTAGTGTTTCAAAGACCAACCCCAAAATCAAAATTTGTCCTCAGTAGGGCTCTCCTGGCTACTTTAATGTGAAATTAGCTTTGATTTTTACCTGGATTATTTGAACTCAGCCGTAATGAGGTTACTGGCTATCACTAGTCTGTTCTGCTTAGTTAATAAAAAATTAGGGATTTCTTAATCAATGCAATAGGTTTGCTAGAGAAAATCTTTCTAAATATGGGATCCAAAGGGAGAAAAAGGCACTCCTGGCAGAAAATAGGTTGTATAAACTCTTCTTTAAGTTCTCCTCTGTCTCATAGACTAAGAGGTGGGTATCTCAGCCTTAACCTGACGGGTCTATCTGCTTCTAAAGTCACACCTTTATCTGAGTGGTTGATGGATGGGTTTCAGGGGTCTTCCCACAAACCCCTGAAACTCTATGCCAACCTTTACGTATGAGCGCACATCCGGTTTCCTTTGAGTCCATAGCTTTTCTCAGATTCTCAAAGGGGCCCAGGATCCAAGAAAGGTTAAGAACCATTGACTGGGAGCCCAAAACATGTGTTGGTTGGGGAGGATACCAGTTCCTCCAGCAGAGGGCAGCGGCGCCCACATTCCCTGACCTCCTTGACCTTCCATTTGTTATCAAGGGATCCCAGACAAGGAGCCAGGTAGGCCTGACCCAAGCCTCCCCACCACTCTTCCTGTTACATGGGTTTTGAAAGCTCATCCCTGACCCCCCAGCGCCACATCATGGGTTGCCTAAGCGCTCAATCAGTGGCTCTGGGGAAGACCATCTTCTCCATCAACTTCCTAAAAGCACCTAGAAAATTCTGGGTGACGTGTATTTTTCTCAGCTTTGTCATTCCTTTGTCAATGTTGGTTTCTTTTGCTTCCTTTGTGGACGTATGCAGACTGCCGAAACACTGATTCAGAGGTCCTGCTTGGGAGACATTTTTCAATGGAAACTCTAGGGAATTGACTAAGATTCTCAGTTGCATGCCTCTGTGCATAGAATAAATACCTCACCCTTATCTCAACATTGGCAGCCTTTTGAGAATGGTTCTGCTCTTTCCAGTCTCCTAACTCTCCCATACGTAATAAGGTCTCCTTGTTGGCCGAACCATTCCTGCAGTTGCTTTGGGCTTTCCCATAAGCTCCTGAAGAGATCACACCTTCTCCCCTGTTTTTCTTAAATTTCCATCCTTCAGCCCCTCCTTCCTCCATGGAGCTTTCTCTGGCTGAGAAGCAGCAGAACATAGATGCTAAGGGCTCTGAAGGACTGAGGAAGCAAGCCACACAGATAATTAGGGGGAAGGTTTCCAAGTACAAAGGCCCTGGGTGGAGATCTGCTTGGTCTTGCAAAGGCACAGTGTGGCTGGAACAGAGTGTGCACACAGGAGATAAAGTCAGAGGGGTGGTGGAAGCAGATGGTACAGAATCTTATAGGCTACGGTCAAGACTCAGGTTTCACTCTGAGTGAGATGAGAAGACATTAGAGCATTTTGAGAAGAGGACTGACACCATCTCATTTGTGTTTGACAAGGACCACTCTGGCCATTGTGTCAAGAAGAGAATGTTGGGGGCAAGAGCAAAAGCCAGATAGGGAGACTATTGCAATCATCTAAGAATGATGGAGAAGAGGTTGGCTTCTGTGTCTATTCGGAAGGTAGAATGGATGGGGTTTGCCCATAGATGGGATACGGGGTTTGAGGAACCAAAGAAAAGGAGTTAAGAGGGCTCTGAGATTTTTGGTGTGAGCAGAAGGAAAGATGGGAGTTGACACTGAGATTGGAAAGACTGGGAGAAAAAAGTTTGTGTCAGGGAGCTAAGAAGCAGGGATTCCGTTCTGGCTGGGTTAAGTCTACAGCTGCTTAGGAGACCCAGCTATGCTGCCCCTTATTTCCTCACCACCCACCCCCTTCCCTGACTGCTTACCCAAAGAGCTCTGGTCTTGCCGTTGATGACCCCTTGCTCAGACCACCGCTGTCTCAGTGTCTCCCAGGAGGATGCAAGGCTCCACCTCGCCCCCACCATGCCTGCCACAGCGGAGCTCATCAAAGCCCCTGGCACCGGGCCCAGTGACCAGACACGGAGGTTTTGATTCTTCCCAGCACTTTGGAGTCCACATTAAGTTCTAAACCAGAGTTAGAGGGGCTGCTATCTCCTAGAAGCCCCCACAGGCCAGGGACTACAACCCAGGAGTGCAGGGATAAACGTTTATCATGGAAAGACAAGAGATTAATTCTATTTCCTTCCACAAGTCAGAAACAAACCTTGCCCTTCCCAAGAGGCAGCTCTGAGGGGCTGTGTTTCCCTTGGCCTGCCTGGAGATGTTCCCACGTGACCAAGCCACTGTCTCCTTGTATGTGGCTCGCTCAATAGCGCCCCCCCTTGTGTCTACGTCCCCTCATTCCCTGCCTCATTTCCCTTTTCCCTCCCTCTCTGCCCTGGGATTGCCCCTGCCCTTGTGTGAGCTTTGACACTGGTGCTGATGTCTAAGGAACCCAGGGTAAGTCAACATGCAAATGAAAATGCAGAGTAAGCCGGGGAGGGGTTAGTGTTGGAGATAGAAAATGGAGAATTCACTGCAGTTTTTTGCTTCTCTAAGATCACCTAAGAAATGAAACTGACAGAGGAGAGACAGATCAAGGACTGAGTCTTGTGGTGCTCTAACGTTTAAAGATCAGGAGATGAGGTTGAGTCAACAAAGGAGAATGAGAAGGAAGTACCACGGGTGAGAAGGAAACTAAAAAGAATGGCTTTCTGGAAGCCAAATGAAGACAACATTTCAAGAAACTGAAGGTGATTAACTGGGTCCAATGAAGAGGGAAAAGGGGTCATTGGCTTTAGCATTGAAGAAGTTATTTTGGTTACAATGACGAGGAAAGTTTCCCTCCAGGGTTCAAAGCCAAAACCTGAAGACAGGGGGTTTGAGAGAAACTAGGAGAAGGATCAGGACAGCAAGCATAGTCTCTTCAAGAAGTTTTTCTCCAAACAGGCGCAAGGAAAAGGGGCAATAGCTTGAGAAGGGGTAGAATGGAGAGTGGGTTTTTTAGGATGGGAGAACTCGTTCATGTTTGCATGTGGACGGGAGAGATTCAGTAGAG